AGTTTGCAGGGTGCCGAATGGTCAGATCAGGTAGATTATAATAGAATGTCTATTTTACTACTAATTTTGCGGAATATTTCCTTTTACCTATAAGTCCCAGTGTTTGTGTGCGCGTGAGAGTTATATTTTGCTGAAATGTCTTAATATTTTACTTACTATGGGTCATTTTATACAAAGAATACACTTGATCTCAACCTTAACTCATAAACTCTTGCCCTCGTTTCACTTATTCCGTAACTCAGGTCCTGATTGGGACCTCTTATTTATTCTTTTTTTCTATATGCATGTGCTTGCATTTTTTGAGTTTATATACGAACGGGGGTTGAACATTTTGGTGAAGTAAATCTCTAATCATAGTACTATATGCAATGCTAATGATACAATTACTATCCATTATCATGATATCATTACCGGTAGTAGTTTAACCCTTAGCGCCATCGTAAGCATATATTACAATATTTTTGCATACCATATAAACTAAAAATGTAATTTTTATCCTCTAATCTATTTACTCTTGTTGCAATGTATCGCAGTTATATCCGTCCGAAGCACCTCCTCGACCTACATTTGGATCACGTCCCCGTCGGACCCATAATGGAATGATGGATTCTCGAAACCCAAGTCGAAGAGGTTACAATGGGGGCTACTTTCGTGACACAGCCTATTATTCACAACGCAATTCCACTGCCGGTTCAAGGACGCTGCCTGCTTCCTCGGGTCGAGGCTCGAATAATCAGCAACTACAGCAGCAGTCCCAACACTCCTACATTTCGAGCGATCGTCGGCCCGATCGTATCCGAACAGCGGGACGTGGGCGTTCTGGCCTATATCATCTACAGCATCCCCAAATCTCTGATCAGTCTGACATGAGCCACCAAGTAGCCTCACGGCAGTCTTACGCTCAGCAGCCGCTAGAGACTAAGAACGGACGAGTTTCGAGTTCCGGACCTCGTGAGTCAAACTTCTCCGGCCCCAACAAACGTGGCAACCAGGAGCACAGGCATAAAGGCGTTGGTGGAGTCAATGACTCATCCAGGCACTTTTCGGCAGCACAGCAGCCAGCTCGCTTTAGTGAACAGCGTTCAACAGAGGGGCCAGAAATGGCAACCAGCAACAGTGTCTCACGCCGTCGAAATGCACCTTCCAGCACGGCTGTCGCAGGCTATCATCATGATAAGCAGCATGAATTGCTTGAACCAGACAACTCTGTTGGAGGCCAAGAAGGACGATCAGTCAATGACGGCGAGGATTCTCGCTGCCACCCTCCACAAAGCGATAACATGTGAGCAGTCGAAACTGAATTAATCCGATGGAAATGTACTTTAAGGATTTGGGATCTTTTTTTGTGATTTATATAATGGATTTGATTTCCAAGCTAAATATTCTTTTGCCCACAATAAAGTTCGATTTGGATGATTT